CTACACATTTTAAAATTATGCACAAGTAATAATTTAAAGGATTCATGCCTAGAAATACTCAGGATTATCTTCTACTTCTATTTCTTACGATCAGAAATAGCTAGAAAGTTATAATTAAGCTGATACTTTTATCATAACATTGGCAAACCAATAATTACACCTACTATGAAACCATTATATAAAAACGTTCAATTTTGAAATTTCTTTTACGTTATTTAAACAGCGTACTAAGGGCTCTACTGTTATTACTTCTAAACTTGTAAAATAGTACATTATAGCGGGCACTGAATAAACCAACCACGGACGTTGATAGGCAAGCAAAACCGCGGCTAACTTCAAGTAAACTTTCCACGAACGCGATCATGGACGTCAAATATTTTCTGGTAGTGCGCAGTCGCGGATATTAATGCACTGCCATCGCGAAGTTGCGTGCGTGAAGTGAGCGGTACCAAGGCGAATTGCATCTTGTTGCGTGCTACATGATACTCGATTGGTCAGAGTGTATTACATATTTCGAACAAAATGCCAATCCCGAAAAGTGTATGTACAGTACATAGATGCGATTAGCGAGTCTATCTCATTATCGATAGTATATATGCGAGTTGATTTCATATTGTAGCGAACATGCATTCCGGGAAACTTAAACAAGATGTAGAATGTAAAAGAGTTTTGGTGAAATTATATGGTGCAATAAGAAATTAGAAAGCTGTTTCTATTTTTAATTCTTCTGCACGATGCAGGAATCACTTTTTTTCTGATTATTGATTGGTATGCAATGATAACTGTAAAATGCAAAAATTGCGTTTAAAATCACAGAGTGTTGCCGATTTTTTAATACAGTTAAATGAAATATGAAACAAGGTTAAAATCATGTTTTGGTTTCTTTTGAATGATATTAATTCTGTATAAACAATAAACGTGCGTGAATACATGCAATGGATATCAAGTGTACATATGATTTGAGTCAATCAATAGGTTCCGTTTAAACTTTTCACCTTTTGCTGTGTTAAATATATACAAATAAAAAAAGTTTATACTGGGCGTTTCATTTTAATCTTTCCATCCAATTATCTCATAAACTATTCATTATTCGAAAAAATGTTTCAAATAAAACTTGTTCTGTTTTGAGAGGAACATCTTATGATGCTTTTTTAAATATAGTTAACCGTTCGGGCTAAAAGTCAGAGTCTGTAAGTTAGTTTTATGGACGCAGAAATTCGCGTTTCTGCGGGCCATACAAACTTAGAGCCCTGTTTCTGCCAACTCAATAGCGATAGACGTGTCATAAACCCATAGCCAGGCGCGCGAGGAATTATTAGACACGGGACCGACTAACCCTTGGGCCTAGTCTTTCCGTAGATCTACATCCGTACCTTGCTGTCACCAAGATAGGTGGAATGTTCCCATTCCTAGGAGAGCTGTCCAGGACTTGCGATATTTCTATTCGCTCACGGTGTCACTAACCATTTACTCTAATTTAGCGTAAATAATATTTATATTTAGCATTAATATTTAGCATTAAAGTTAGTACGCGTGGCGGCACCATTAGTGCAAATTTAACAAACGTCAACCTGACATTGAATCTTCTCCAATTGTGGGAGTTCGATAACAGGTTCATTATAACACAATGTGACATAGAATACTTTACTCAATAAATGTCCGTTTGTCAATTATAGGTATGACTGAATACCCATGTTCCTTATTCTGCAATTCTACAGACATTTATAATATAGGTAAGTATTTCAAAACGTTCCACGTTTATCCTCAAGTATATTTTAAGAATTTCATTGTGTTTATTTAAAAAATGAACATTGGAAAAACAATTCTTCGGAAACTGATATTGTAAAAAATTTTGATATAATCCACTTGTTTATGAAATAGGTTTATAATTTGTAATTTTTATTTGTACTAAATTAAACAATTAAGTTTTACCAATTTTTACGTTACTCAAATACATTTCCTACAAACTTTCTCATGTCTATCTCCTACAACAAAAAATAAAATTAAAACATAGAAAGTTTACGTGTAACGAGGGTTTTAGTCCCGAGTTTGGAATCGTCTTATCTGAAAAGGAAGGGTAATGGAAGGAACAGCTTTGTGTAAATTTTACATAATGTTTATTATTTATAGTGTACTCAGAAATGTCGGGCCTCAACCAGTGGGCCTCCTCTTTTTTTTTTCTTTTTTTCACTTTTTTTCTCTTTTGACATATTTGATCAGTAAACATCACAATGTTAATTTTTTTCCTCTAGTCCGTACAGTTTTTCTCTCTCTTTCAATTTCTTTTTCTCTCCATTAAAAGTGACGCGCAAGCTGCTCGTATCGTTTTGCTTCTTCGTGAACCATGACATCGAGACGTAATAAGTTTTTCGATTTTGGTA